GATATTACGCGAAATTTATGCAACTGCATAACTATAAAATTTTAAAATATCCTCACACCATAGATCTTCAGGAGACGTCCTGAGAACGTCTATATGTCCTTTGATTATTATAAGAACATCCCCAGGATGTAGATCTCAGATAAAGTGTGTTATTAGGGTAGAATCGCTGACAAATAAAACTGTATCATTTTCGGAGCAGTCTCGGAGCCATTCTTCGTGCAGAAGACAGACCTAATTGCCGAATTGAAGCGCACAAAGGATATACCCGGAATCAAAAAACTAAAGGTAGAAAGGGCGCAGGTCGAGAAGACTCAAGAGCAGAATCTCATGTCCGAAATTAGCAAAGCGTTCAACGTTACAAATTTTGTTGATCAAGTAAGAACATTTTATTTTTTATTCTTTTTAAAGTTTTTTACAGAAATCTGACACTGGTCAATTTAATACTGAAAGACAGTTAATTACTTACTTGGAATAAAAACATTAAACAACTTGCTTTTAATATACTTGAAATTAGATTAGAGTGTACTCCTTTAAAGAATTAGATTTTTGTAAAAGGCAATACAACAAAATGCAACATATAACAAAAAAACGCAACATGTAACAAAAATAAAAAAATTTTTATTCTTTCTAATGTTCTATTAAATATTTTTTCTTCTTTTAGATATTCTTGTATAGTTTAGTTTTGAAATCCTGAATTATGGTTCTTTTTCAATAGATCCCCGAGAAGGACAGCTCAGGAAATGTAATACCAATCTGGAAGCGACAGATGCTAGCTCGAAAAGCTGCTGAACGTGCGAAAAAAGAGCTTGAGGAGCAAATAGCACGAGAGAACGAGGAGAGGCGCCAGAAGGCAATTCCGCCATGGAAACGACAGCTTCTCGCTAAGAAGGACAACGAGGAAAAAAAGTATGGAGATTAATGGATCTGTATCAATCAATCATCGATGCAATTAAATGCTAGTTCTCGGCGATTGGAGAAAGCCATTAATTAGAATGGATTTTGCACTAGTAGAGAATGTTTTAACTGCTCGTCACAAAATCGTACTTGAATTGTATTTTTCACAAGAGATTTATCTCGTGTTACTTTATAAGATTTAACTCCACGTGTTTTTAACGTACGCAGACAGGAAGAGGAGGAGAAGCTAAGTGTTCTAATTATTATAAGTATTACAATTGCCACTCGTTGCAATTGGCTTCAAGTTCCTTCGCGTTACATGCAAAATTACGCGATACGTATAATATTATGCATAATATTTTATACGTGTATTAGTAAGATTGGCTTATCTAATTTGACAATTGATATTCGGCATTTCCAGATAGAAAGTTGTTATTCAGAATTTTAAATTTTCTTAAGTAAAACAAAAGCGTAAAAATGTTGAAAACAAGAAAAGGAGAATCTTATTTATTATATTTTGTATTTCTCTCTATATTCTATTACATATTCCTTTTGTTATTCTATTTCCAATCATTATTTTAATATGATTTTATCAATTTTTTTATTCCTTAATTAACAAAATATTAAAATAAAAATTTTCACGAACAAAATTCAAGTATCATATTATCGATTTGATTACAGATTTAATCAGACGCAGGTATCCGCATCGACAAGCACGAAATTTGAGGCAACGTCGGCAAACCCGAAGAGGGACGCCTCGCCGGCGGCGACGCGAGCGTCATGCGTCATCAAGAAGGAAGAAAAACCTGAGGTCGAGGAGAAACGGGACGATCCTGTCAAGGACGATTCTGATGATGGTCAGATTATACCCTGGCGAGCGCAATTAAGGAAGACCAACAGCAAACTTAATATCCTCGATTAATCGAAGTACGAAAATCTGCGAACTATTGCTTTATCTGTTTATTGAAAAAGACGCGCATGATATAAGTATCGTGTTTAATCGTTAAATGCGTAAGATTATGTACCGTGAAATCTTTCCGAAACTTACGCAATACGAAAAAATGCGAGGAAGACATATCTCGGTAATTAAGATAATAAACGAACATATAAGATAATTCACGGAATTATAATATAGAGCGAAGCGTATTGAATATTCTTTAAAAGTAATATGTACTGATGCTCTAAAAAGTAAAAAAATATTTTTATATATTCCATAGAATGTCGCCTTTTTCATAATTAACATTATACATTTATACATGTTTTTTGTTTTTATGGAAATTATCCGGAGCAAAGTAAAATTCAATAGATATTTCAAGAATTCATAGGAAATTCCGCTTTTCCTCAAATAGTAGAGAAATAAGAATAAATTCTTGAGGATATAAAAACTGAAATATTGTTCGCAAGAAGTATGGTAATTGTTGAATTGCACCAAGAAAAAAATAATGCATTATAAAGCTTGAGATAGCTATAAGATTCGTTTGTCGATCAGTTTATTATTATGAAGCTGAAGAAATGGAAAAATTTTGTTCGTCACTTCAATTTTATTATTTCCGGTTATATTATATTTATTGAATTCAACGCCATTCTGAAATTGTTTACTTCTTTAAATCGGTTATTTCAACGGAAATTTTATTTAATCGCGGAAAGTGTTCGAAGACAGACAGTTGATAATTCTAGGTCTAATTAATCGTGTCAAAGAGAGCATCAGCAGCGTGGTGAATATGCCTGATAACTTCCAATTACAGTCATTAGATCAGTGAATTAATGTTGACGTTGATTAATCACTACTACGTCACGATAATGTCTGGCGCGTTACAACGTATCGCTCAGACAACAGTTATCTTCCGCCGAGAGATTTATCTCTTTGTGAAATAACGGAGCAAGGAATGAACACGAGATATTTTCAGCGTGGAATTATACTAACCCCTTAACTGCGATATCACTCAATGCGAATCCACGATGTATTACTTAAGAAAAAATTGTATGTATATAACAATTGATATTTCTATATAATATTTATATAATTAATAATATTTTGTGAAATTGTATATTATGACCGTCTAATTATTTTCTCACATATTACTTAAACAAAAATTCACGAAATCTGAAGTATTAGGTGTAAATAAATAATCCGTTATTTTTTATAAAATTTAATATTTAATGTCAAAACATGTCGACATAATTCAATCATCCGGTTCAATAAAAAAGACTGATTTATATGTATGTTAAATTCATCAAGCTATTTCTGTATTTCTTCGATATTTCAAAATTTTTTGTTATCAAAGCATCGATCAGAATAAAGGATAATCTGGAAGGAAGATGCTAAGGTATAGAGATATATATAAATGTAATAAGAATAGACTACGTATAATATTACTATCAATTTTAAAAAATGTAAAGTGGCATCTACAATACAATTTTAAGACGTAAAATTTAATCTTTAAACTCTAAACCGTAAGAAATAGATTAATTACAAATGTGAGAAGAATATTTGGTCAGTTCCTTATGGCTTAATGCTTAAATAAAATAAAATAAAACTTAAGTTTTATGCCTTAAAATCTCATTGTAGACGCCGCTTAAAACGTAGCTTAAATCATATCTCTCTCTCTCTCTCTCTCTCTCTCTCTCTCTCTCTCTCTCTCTCTCTAAAATATCGAGTTAAAGAAAAATAGAATCGAAGAGAAATACTGATATGTTCAATTCTTTCTAACGGAGCACGGACGTTAAGAACCATGACACGCAGAAAAAGGCAGTAAAACGTAACCAATAAGCGAATCACAATAAAGATAATAATGTAAGACAATAACATAAGTAACAAGTAAAAAATATATTAATATTATAATTGATAATTTGTTTACGTCTTATGTTTTTTGTCTGCAAGCTTTAAGATCAGGAAATACGTAGTCTATATCTATTACAGTATAGAGTAGAAACAATAGACAATCAGACCGAAATGAGAATTTACTCGGCCTCATGATAATAAACCGACGAATCAGATCATATAGTGAATCTGATCAATATAAGCTTTGAGATAAACAGAACTGTTATCTATTATTTTGTAAAGAAAGCGAAGAATTAACTAGCATGATAATAAAACAGTTTATTTGAAACAACAAACTTAACAACTGTCTCAAAGCTATATTGATTCGATTTACTCTGTGATTCGTTTCACTTCAGTCTATCCTAATGCCTTTAGATTTGTTCCGATTGATTGGTTGTGCAGCACACTTTATCTGATAAACAATTTAGAAACATCGAAGAAAGAAAGTGAATTGAAGTGGATTCAACGCAAATAAAGACCAGTCTTTCTATCAAGCCCGAATGTGTGATTTGCTTGAAAGATGAAAAAGTGCATTAAAAAGTAATGAGAGTTTTATAATTGAACTATTATAATAATCAATATTAAATTTTATTAAAAAATAATGAATCACTTATAAATCCAATTGTAAGAAAAAATAACTTCAATACATGCACGTAACAATAAAAAATTAATTTATAATTCATTTGTAAGATAAGTGGAAAAAGAAAACACTTGAAGATAAAAAATGTCATTTTACACAAAAACAAACACTACAGGAATTGAAATGCATGTACAGGATCATGTTATGCATCCGAAGATTAATTTTTCATTCTCAAAACATCATATATTTTCTTTTCTTGTTAAGAAAAACGTTTCCTTTAGGTTCCTTAAATTCTAATATCTGAACTTTCGAATTTCACTTCCCAGCGGGTAGCAGGCATAAGGGTAGGAAAAACCATTTGAGAGGGTACATCTTTCCATTCGCAAGAGAGTATTCATCTTCTCTTCGACGCGGCGAACAAAGCACGTCATTGTATATAACTACGGACGCTTGTGACGTGCATGGTCGTGCCCCTCTTTCTTTCTCTCTTTCCCTCTACCACTTCGTCATTTCATCGCACGCAGCCTTCGTTACGACATCGAAGAACGTACGACGGAACGAAGCGGGAGAACAACGCAGCCCGCGGAAGACGTCGGTGTCGCAACGCTGACGGCGCTGACGCTATTGTCGAGCCTCTTCCTTGCCTTTCGTCTTCCGAGCAGCCAGCGCCACAATTTAGCTGAGATTTTTGGCAGCGTTTAGAGCAGAGCACAGTTAAAGCGCATCGAGTGAACAAGGCAGTTGTGCTGTCCAAGGCGTTCGTAAAGCAAGCTTTTCCAAAATTTTTAAAAGGGGTTGGAAGTTTTTTTCTTGTGTCAAGTATCGTTCGAGTGACATGATGATTATTTACACGTGAAGAACTGCATTCAATTGGAAGAAATTCTTAAGTCAACTTGTGCAAACATAATTTAAAAAAGATAAATTGAAACTGATTTTCAAAAAGTGCATTGAAATTAAGAAAAAGGAAGACCGGTGAGGAGCATTTGCAATCATCATAACATCTACCGGCGAAATGGCATCCAATCGTAGTGTGCTAGGTAAGTGGCGATGATTGAGACAAGAGATTAGAAAAATAAAAATTAATTTGTTCTCTACTAGCAAGAATAATTTTAATAAAATAAATGAAAATAAGATGTATATATTAACATAGCTGTTATATTTAAGTTATATTTTAAAGTAAATATAAAGAATAAATATAATGAGAAGAAGTTAAACATTACGTTATCATAAATATCATTGAACATCATCATAATTATTTGAAATATTTATAATAAAATAAACGTAATAATTATAGGAGCGTGTAAGATCGGGTCGGGATGGGAACAGGAATATTTTTTGGGATTTTAAATTTTCGACATTCTCGAGAATGTTTGAAATTCCCGAGAGTGTTCAGGTTTCCTGAGAATGTTCGGGTTTTCTAAAAATGTCGGAATTCAAGTAGAATATATGTTTTGTTGAATATGGTCACAGTTTTAGATTTTTTATTTCTGTTATTGAGTTTCATTTTATAAAATTTTCTGTTTTATAAATCATACAGCAGGCTGTTTTATCATAGATAAAAAAAAATAAAAATATTGTATATATTTCCGAGAAAATCCAGTACTAGAAATACTACTAATATTATATATTGATGGAAAAACAATATTAAAAGATTCCATACAGTATCAGATATCTCGAAGATTCCCGGGAAAGCCGAACATTCTCGGGAAATCCTAATATTTTTGGGAATCCCAAAATTTTCGAGATCGCGTCCCAACCCGATCCGCGTCTTCCCATCCCGTCCCAAGCATCGGTTTTCGAAAATTTTGGGATATATTTCCATACACTTGTGAATAATTAGTGCTTCACAGTAGAAAACGTAAGTCTTAAAACAAAGCTGATTCAATTTCTGTGATGTTTATCTTGATCTAATCCTAATTTTACAGAGGGCTGAAATACAAGTTTACATACATTGGGTTAGCAAATTGCACGGTTACAAGGTTAATATATATTATTCTAAACGCATGACAAATGTCATTATCGTATTTATCGAATGTTTGAATTCACAGAAGTTAAAGATTCCATATAGGTTTTATTAGTTTTCCACTTTTAGCACGATGATATAACATAAAAGTCATAATTAGTTTAGGCGATTGTGTTTATTTCACACATCTCGTATTTTATTTGTACGCGCGCATCTAGCTTCCTGATTTCAAACACCTAACACTAAAATTAAGTTTAATAATTTTAAAATAATTAATTAATATAATTCAATATCCCCACGAACATCAATCAAAATTAATTGATGATAAATTAATCGATTAAATTATTTAATGATAAATCGGACCATTATATTATCCTTTTCTAAAGCCAGAAGATCACTTAACTTTAATTTTAATATCATATTATTTTAAAAATAATTTTTTGTTTCTGAAAAAATCTACAGACATAAGTTCCTTAAAAGAAAACGAACGGATTACATACAAATTTGAGTTACGAGTGTCTCGCGACGAACGGCAACGAACGCGACTTCCGCTTAAACGTTAATATATTCTTTATTACGGGAAGGGATGATGATTCGTCAAGAAGCCGGCGCGTAATTCGATAAGCTGACGGTGAATTAAAGTAATAAAAACGTCAGCTTCCTGTATAATATGTAAATTATATTATATTTATATATAGGATGCCATTTTAATAATAAATTTTAAAATTATAATAAAATATTATTATAAGAAACATGCATGTACTATATAAGGTATGTTATTTTTCTGATGTCTTAATGATTGTAGGAATGTGAAATATGCATTAAATAAATCAACCTGAGGCCAATAAAAAATAATTAAAGAATAATTAAAAAAAGTTTTAAAGAATAATTAAAAAAAAATAAAAGCAAATTCTACATATATGCAAATAAATAATATTAATTTTTGTAATTATGTATTATACTTCAGATATAAAATAACGTAAGATATAAAATACAGAACACAAGATATTAAAGCGTATTACGGCTCATATTTAATGCATATATGTATACAGGAAATGATCATGTAATTTATGATTTCTTTCCGAATAAAGTTTACATGAAATATGAATTTAGTCTATCGCGGTTGAAAACTCGCTATCATCATTTGCTTCGAACTCTCACCTCCACATTGTTGAGGTTAATACGTATATCGTCGACGGCATTTGCATATAACAGAATGCGATGTGTGTTGATAGTTCAATGCTTGTAGTCTACGCGACGATGCCACGCACCAGCCTCTAATCTTCGACCAATTAAACGCGAATGCATGTAACGACGAATCCGATAGATAATAATACCATCGTTATTCGTACATTGACTCGAATCAATGTTTCTGACCCTCAAATCTGCAAGTCATCAAACTCGACTTTAAGAAAAGCATGCAGGTATATTTCGGTCCTTCACGAAACGACGAAATCGCTATGAATAGTTCGCGAGAGAACGTGCACAGAGTTCTGGGTGAAGGTCACAGTGTTTAATCTACGATACAAATGATGACGCACAAAATGTCATGCATTTCAATATGAGAATGCATCTCCACGAGATCGTGAGATGAAACAAAGATCTCATTGCATATATCTACTAATGATAATTTTCCACACACATTTGAATGAATGGCTTATGTATCGTTTGCAATTATATGAATCATTTATATTAAAAAAAAAATCGTACAATATTTCGTACACCATTCTACAAACATGAAGTTACAAGTACCTAGCACACCTGTTAATTATAATTTTCCACTCCACACAATAATACAATTATAACATGTGTATTATACAACAATTATACTGTTAAATAAGAAATTACTATTAATAAGTACGTTATATGTAATTTACTGAGTGTGTTAATTTTTTTATATTATGGATATGAACGGAAAGATAAAAGTATTCCATATTCAAATAATATACTCGTTGCTTATGCGATTTCGGAACTTTTATTTTCGAGAATGTAAAGGTTCGTTCTGTGCCGATTGTATTATATCTTACAACCAAGTTTTCCGGTTATAAAAACTAGTATCATGTTATCGAGTTCGTCGACACACAATCCTGCGCTGAAGTGAAACCAGCTTGATAATATAAAAACCACCATAAAAATTATAATTAGTGGCACTCAGTACTGGTTTGCAATAATGTATTATAATTGACAGACATTAACACGTTCTATATAAATTTATGACAGAAATATGAAATTGATAAAATACAATATGATTGGAAAATTATAATCTTCCTGCAATAATGTATTTTAACAATTTTATATTGTTTTTTGATTTAGTATGATCCAATTATATTAAGTGAGTACAAAAGCTTACTTTTATTACACATAAAGCAGAATTAAAATAGAATAGAATTTTTTCATGTATTATATGAAAAAAGAGCTATATTCAAATTGCATCCAGAAAACGAAAATTTATACTAAAATAAAACAAGATGTATTTTAAAGCTAAAAGTCAATACTTTTGCATTAATAAAATTTAGAAAAAAATTTGCTGATGCTACAATAGCAAAAACGTTTTTTTAATTTTCAAAATCTTCGTTTTTAACTTCTTTGATACTATTTTTTCAAGATTGTGACATGGCAGTTAAATTTGACCAACGAATTCATGTTCAACAAACAAAAATACATTGGAAATGACTATTCACACTCACGTATCGCAAGAAAGATCAAATAAACTCTATAAAAGAGTGTAATTATAATAAAATAGTGCAGTTAATAAAACAACCATATTATTCAATCAACCATATTATTTCTTGTTATATTAATATTTAATGTCGCTTTAATCAATTTAATAATCCGACGTACAATAGTATTAGAATTAAAATAGCAACAGATATTAAAGTTGATAGCATCTGAATTGACTAAACTATGTTAAATTGTAATCGACCTCAGACGATTTCTCTTTACCGATTTATTTATCTTCTTGGTCGATTTCTTTATCTTCTTCATCTACGTACATCAATCTTTATTTCGTTTGATCGATAATCAAAATTTTTCGCTTTAACATCACTACATCAACTCGGACTAAATTGCATAGTGTACATTAGTGCGTTGCTTATCAGCGAACGTTCAAAGTCAAACTGATACAAATTTTAAATACTAAAAATACGATGTATATTCCTCGCATTTAAAGTACCAAGTCCCATTGCCACAGATCGGGGAGCGTAATAGTCGCAATAGCGGTTAAGTGGTTAGCACGACACGCGTAGCGGCAAGCTCTCGATTCACGAACATCATTATTATATCGGTCAGATTGGACTTTTAAATAGATACTCCTCTCTAATCGTCCAAATTGCATCCACAGGGATCCTCTCCATCCTCTCCAAGGCAATCTCATGCGGATAAGATTCTGTGATAGGTTGAAATAAAAAATACGATGTCGAATAACTGTTAATGCTACAATGGTAATTTGCTAATTTAGAGCAAACGTGAAAAAAGGATTCATGTAACATAAAAATAAAATATAATAAATACGTCACAAGTAAACATATATAAATATATATATCGTTTTTAATCGGTTTTGATTATTGTCATTATATTATTGATGTTTCTTTGTATGACGTAGAAAGAGACAATATAGATTCAAAAAAAAAGTTTAAAATATTAAATGTTTTATTCTTTCTGATTACAAACATTCAAAAAGGAAGTTTTTAAACATTTAAAAATGTTTTAGTTTTAAAGTTTTTCAATAAATAAAACACTATATGTATTTGGATTTAAAACACTAAAATATTTAAAATTGAAGTATCTTTTATTAATAAACATTTATTTTGCAAAAATGTTTCAAACATTTTAAACATTGCATTTTTACAGTGAAGTAAAACAACTTTTAACTTTTTCAGTCTAAAACATTTTTAAAAACATCTTTAAATATTTCCAAATAAGTACTTTAAAAAATTGAAAATTTTTTAAAACATTTTTCAAAACTAAACATTTTTTAGTGTTTTGCGTACTCGTTTAAAAACTAAAACATTTTAAAATATTTACATATTACAAACAGTGAAGATAAAAAATAAAGCATTTTACTATCTTAAAATTAAACATCTTTCATAAGTAATGTAACAAATCAAACTTCCTTAAAAAAAGAATTAAAATTGATTAGAAAGTTAATTTCGAAATTTTATTATATTATTAAATAAAATTACAATTAAGTCTTAAAAAGATTGAAACTATAAAACAACATATAAGCAAATATATTCGTATTAAATATAGAAAAAGAAACACTTTATTTACTATTATATAAAATATATGTACATATATCTGTTGCATGTCTTTTAATATTTTTTATTAGTTAAGAAGCCAGCTAAGTGATAATAATAAAAATAGTTTATTAATTTCAGTTATTTTTGTACGCAAAGTACAGTACGGAAGAAAAATATAAAAATAATTTTAATGCATGAAATCGCTAAAAAAAAACAATGTTATTTCTTCGCGATAAGAATGCACCTGCATGCAGTTTCATTCGACCTTATACTCACAGTTTCGGTTACGTCAGATACGATGTTTAAAGCATAACTTTGCATTGGCTGACATAGGTACGCGTCGACGAACGTTTAACTCGTAAATTATCCGTGTCGCCTCTTCATTGCATCGCTGCGACTATATACCTTTTCTGTCCAGGAAATCCTAATTGTATACATATTGATGATCATTCCCTTTCATCGTCGAAAACAGATACATTACCATATATTGACCATACATTGCTATTATGCAACGAGACACAACTTATTTGTTCCGCACGCGCCTTTCTGTTGTAACAACTGAATGCGTCAAAGACGAAAATAATTAAGGATAGAATAAATTGACGTTTGTATTGTTGACTTAACGCAATCGAAATAAATATGAAATAAACTGTTATTTCTCGTAGACAAAAAAATAAAATTCTGAAGTAAAGTCCACATGAAATCAATTTGCCTGCGATTACAATCTTATTAGCTATCCTATTTACTTACATCGCAGTAAATACATTTTATTTTCAATTAATTCATTTTCAAAAATTATTTCTTTCTAGTAATTATTTGAAAATTATATACACATTGCTTTTAGTTTCAATTCATATTTCAGAAAAAAATAGATGTTAAATAGGTCAAGGAAATTTGCCAATAGTTTCTACATCGTTTGGAATTTGATACTTGTAAAGCATGATTCATTATGTGTAGCATCGAATGTTTCTACGATAACCTCGGACGCAAATTCATGATAAGCAAAGTAACTAGTCGACTTTGCGAATACGATCATGCAGTGCATGCAAAGCGTAAACGATGCAAAGCGATCTAATGCTGACTATTAATATCGGGAACGAGGTGCGCCTGTTTGTGTGCTCTGCGATTAAATGCGTCCACTTCTTCTCTCTGTAAGCTTCTTTCTTTGGTATATGAAGACGTTTGACGTAATGCTTCGCGAAATTTGGAACTTTCGTACTTCAACGTATTTCCTGATTTGCGAAATTGTGTGACGTGCGCGTGAATGAGGAAAGGAAAGGGAAAATAATTGGCTCATTCATGTCATTCTTGAAATAATTTCGGCCATCTGCCAATAAACGAAGAAACCGTTAAAATCATGACTAGATAGTCTAACAGTTATGTACAACTTATTAAAGCAAAACGAATGCAATCGGTCGAGTCATGAATTGATACAATCGCGACGCGCTTTTAATTAATGTATTAATATATCATCTAATTCACATTCAAAAACATTCACATTTTATAATTTTTAATAACGTAATTGTATTCCAATTCGGCAGTCTGTTTATGATAATGTGGGGTTCAATAATCGAAATAAAGTATTCGGTTGGAACAAAATTTCATAGTGCCATTCAAAATTCAGCTGTATCTTCGTTAAAAATGAAAAAAAAAAAACGAAATTAAATTAAAAAAAATTTTACAGGTTAAAATTACTACTTTTAAAAGGTCACTATGTTTTTATGTTTCTATGACTTTAATAATTTTTATATGTATACTTAGAAAATTATGAATGGATTGGATAAGATGAAAAATGTTCTTCTCACTTTGTGAACCTATCACATGCCCAAAAAAAAAACTTGTGATAATTTTCGACTTTCTAAAGCTTAAAGTTTTCCCTACAAAATCATTTTTTAAAAAACGTTTCTATAGGATTTTTTGTCACTGAGTTATCAAATGAAATAAAAAAGAGTATATTCTGATTTTATACTTATAAAATCCGTTAAAAATTATTGTAGTATAATTAAAAAAAAAAACAAATTCTTCAAGCTGAAACTTTGCTATATCGAGTGATATAATTGCTAAATTTTTTTTAAATACGTGGACATGACAAAAATGAAGTAGCGCTTCTGTTCTGACTCAATGTGATAAAATTATATTTTCGTATGTTGGAAAACCTAAGATCCCAATTATAATCTCGAGATGAATTGTGGTTGAGTATAATATTACAATAGCACTGAGATTGATAATGGACCAAAGCTATAAGTATAAGTCGCGTGTATTGCATGCTAATGTTACGTAAAAATTGTTTACAGCACTTAGAACATGTGACATAGATGCTCGTCAGTCGACGCTCGTCAGTCGACTATAAGTAAGAATATAAGTACGCATATACGTCCTGTTTTCGACACACACTCTATCAACAGTAATCGTATAAAAGAAATCTTGGAATCAGACAAAACGATGTCAATATAAAACTGGCTGACGTCACTCGTGTGCAATAAGACGGAAGTCGAAAAGGATGCGGTTTTTCTTAGATTTCAACAAACAAATTCATCATGAGTTTTAAAATATTTCTACATTACAGAAAACAGCTTAGAAAATTAAATTTTCTTAAAATTTTTAAAAAACAAAATATAATTTAGAGAATATATTGAACTACAGAAAAAATCGTAGAAACATAACAAAATTATAATATTGACACATAACGTAACATTTTTTCTATATAATTATTTTGTAATATAAATATTTTTTGAAAAAAATATTAATTTTAGGAGCTAATAATTTTAAGGATTATTACTATAATTCTTCTAAAATAATTGATTTTTAGATACTTTTTTCTTTCTTTTGTATACATATAATTTAAACAATACACTTATATTTTATTTTATTTCATGTTAAAAATATAAATAATACAATTAATAATATAATTAATAAATAATAAGTATCTTATTTTATAATATTTTTTTAAATAAAAAGAAACAAATAAAAACATTAAGATCAACTATTAATAAGTATCAATTTATGCATCGGTTGTCGCAGCCGAGTCACAGATCGTAAAATAAATGATTGTAAATATTTTTTTCAGATCGCTTGACATGTAGTCAGGTATTAAATATCATGGTGATTCTCGGCTTCATGTTAAACTATATGCTGCGTATAAATTTAACGATAGCGATTGTTTCGATGGTGATACCGAGCAATAATAGCGGTCAACATTTACATTCCAACGGATCGTTGGTGTCGGACGAGTGTGGTATCCAGTCGACGATGATGAACAACTTCACCCCGATGGACACCAGGACCCCGGCGATCGACGACGATGTTAATAGAGTCAACGAGGTGAACAACGGCAGCACGCATGCAGTGTTCCCACATTGGTATCGGGTTCGTTGAAACTCACGTAAAGTGCCTAACTTGTACGACGAATGACCTCGTCAGTAATCGCCGGCCATACACCGGCGAATACATCGCGTGAATGAGATTTCATTTAAATACGAAATTTAAACGATCGCAATTAATTGAAATTAAACAGAAAAATGTTATCCATACAGCACAGATCATTCTAATATTATTGCAGCAACATTGCAGCAACGTTCCAGCGATATTGCAATAATATTGCAAATGTTTTGCTTCTGTGCTGTATAAACAGACTCTTAAGAAGTGTTTTGTTTTTATCGATTGTCAAAACTATGTAGATTCATTCGAATTCGTGTTAATCAAGACAAGAAACATCTTAATTGGAATTAAACGATCTTTTTAGTTCTTTATTTGCCTCCCCTTATAATTATGGAGTATTTTCTTTTGCTCGATTTTCTCCGAACCCGTAACTTTTACGAATTCCTCGATTTTCATTTTCAGGAGGAACGAGTCCAGACTAAATATCCATGGAACGAATATGAGGTGAATATGATCATCGGCGGATTCTTCTGGGGTTACATCTGCACGGAGTTTCCTGGCGGCCGGCTTGCGGAGATAATTGGTACCAAACGGGTTTTCGGTTACAGTATGCTGGTATCGAGCTTTATCACTCTATTAACACCACTGTCAGCCACTTTCGGTTACACCGCAGTCGTCGCATTGAGGGTCATTCTAGGATTTATGATGGTACGTCTTTTATTTCATCTAGGATTCATTCTAATTATAATAAATGTACACATCTCTCCTCTCCGCCTCGTGAGAAACGATCTAACAAACGAAAATCTGAATCTATCGAGCATCTTTCTTTTTCACGTAATCTAATTACGCTCATCGATAGAGTTTCACGTGACTGCAAATCGATCACGCAATCATTATTGATAATCTCTCAAAATTGATTCGTCTCGCAAATCAGGGTGCCACCTGGCCTGCCATCCAGCCAATGACTGCTCGATGGATTCCACCGACGGAGCGTAGCAAGTTCGTCTCTCACATGATGGGTAAATGATCATGATCTAATTCGCCACGCGATCGCGAAATCGAGGCCAATCCATGCCATAATCGTTTATCGCCCTCGTTCTTGAGAAACTACGAAACGTATACGCAAAACAGACATAGCCGTTTTATAATCGCGATGAAAATGCGCGATTGCGTCAATTGCCGCGCCATAAACTTATATCATTATATATTTACAGCCTCATCGCTTGGTGCCGCGTTAACTATGTTGATGTGCGGATTCCTCATCGCCTCGCTCGGCTGGGAGTCGGTATTCTATGTAACCGGCGTGATCGGGATTATCTGGAGCGTGGCATGGTTCTTACTGATATTCGATTCACCGTCACAACATCCGCGTATTAGTGCGGAGGAGCGGCACGCTATCGAGAGCGCGATTGGAACGACCACCACCTCCAAGGTTGTAGTAATACAAAACGTTCATTTTAGTCCCAGACCATTTTATTTTATTTTATTTTTTCATTATTAATTTATTTTATCTTATTTAATTTTCTGAAATAAGTAACGATATAAATTGAGACAAATTTATTTATTCGTCTCGTTTGAAAAACCTTCTGTTTTACTTCTTATTCTGTGAGATCTTAATCAATGTTTAATTAATGCGATATTTTATCAGCATCTGCCGGTACCATGGCGTGCATTTATTACTTCAGGGCCGGTTTGGGCTATTATAATAACGCATGCATGCAGCGTCTATGGTTACCATACCATTGTCAGTCAGCTTCCGACTTACATGAAGTACATTTTGCACTTCAACATTAAAGAGGTATATATCGTCGATTATATTAATGAATAAAATTTTTTCATGTTGTCTTTGTTTTACACTAATTATACACACACACACACACACACACACACACACACACACATCTCTCTCTAATGAAATATAAATACATACCAATGAAAATAATATTTACAGAACGGCCTGTTATCCTCGTTACCCTATTTAGGCAAATATATATTTGCCTTATCAACGTCCACTTTAGCCGATTATTTGCGCCGTAATAATAAATTATCCGTGACGGCAATACGTAAAATTTTCACGACATTCGGTGAGTAAAATGTTTACGAATGATTTCAAAATTTTTTTCTGCTTCTTATTTTACGATAATTACGACGATAAAATCAGATTCTTTTAACTAATCAGACACCAGATTCTCTTTTTAAATATGCAAATTAATACTTCTTCAGCAAACAACGTGTTAATTAATTTATACATTCAAAAATTTTTATGTGCAAAAAGAATGATTTTACTAAAGTTCTTAAAAATTTAGCATAGATATAGACCCAAAAATAATTTCATTATCAGAATAATTATATAAAACTCTTTTAAATTGGTTGATAGTCAAAACTTTTTGCAATATCGTTCATCATGCATGAGTTCCTTACATAATTATTTTGATTATCCAAATTATTTTCAGATCTATATTTATTTAAATTTTTACATACTTCAGTAAAATTATTCTTTCCATGTAGATATATCTTATCACAGTATATTTGTACAGGCTACAGTAGAATTTTTATTCAAATATATAATAATTAAATAAGACTTTCTTCGTGGATAATATGTTATAGCGCACATTTTATTTTATATTCCCAACAAACTAACGTTATTTATCTTCAGCTTGTTTGCTTATTACAAGGTTGTATCCAAGTAACAAGACGACGTTAAATGACATTTTTAACATTAATAACAGATTTAAAACATTACCTTGCTTGGATAGCTATATCATTAAAATTTTTATATTAGATGACATTTATTTTTTTAACAAGCGTTTGAAAAAAATTCAATAGCATTAATTATAGATGATTAAAATAACAATCAAAGTATTGATTGTTATAATTAGACTAAAAAAATTTTATTTTCGGCTAATGAAAAAAAACTTTGATTTTTAGCTCTATTAGTACCCAGCATCCTCATGATGATTCAAGCATACTATGGTTGCGATCGTACGGCATCAGTTATTGTATTTACCATTGCTCTGACAATAAACGGTGCTGTGACAGCCGGTTACCTCGGGAATGGTCTCGATATCGCACCTAATTTCTCCGGAACCATATTCGGCATCGCCAACACCTTCAGCTCGATAGGCGGTTTCCTTAGTACCTTTATGGTCGGTAACATCACGTACCATAATCAGACCTACACGCAGTGGGCCATCATTTTCTGGATTCTAGCAGCCATTTATTTTTGCGGTGCAGTGATATTCGCTATTTTTGGCACTGGCGAGTTACAGAATTGGAACAATCCGACCGGCACTCACATGAAGAAAAACAGTATCACCATAGAAGATGGCATTCCGGAATCGGTTCCTCTCAAAACCAATACGGTTTCGTAGCGTTTTGAACGAGAACGAGTTTAGACTCTGAAACGATCGCAAATCAAACGTAGCGATGAAGGTTGCAACACAATATATTCCAAACGGGACAGTATTTTTTTTATTACGTTCGGATTTTAGGATCGGATTTTAGTCTCTTGACTTGACAATAGTTCATAATAAATTTTTGTCTTTTAACACATTCCATGTCGCGTGAATCAAGTTATTTAAAATTGGTTCAGCATGGAACATGTTAATACTTAATAATTCCTAGTTCAAAAATTTGAAATAAGGTTTTTTACCTCTCTAAATCTATGTAATTTATTATAATTTAATGTTTTGCTTTTTTAAAAATAGTATTAGAAATTTGTTTGTAATTTATAAAACTAATGATATTTTATTAGCTTTATCACAATTATCGAGTTAAGATTGCGTTTTTAGGTTTTTTTTTTGCCAAGGATTTAAGATTGAATGATGTAGAATAGTTGAATTTACACTTATTTTCTATTATAAGATAATATAAGCTCGCACAGATACCAAAAGAGAAAAGAAAGACATATAGAAATATCTAAGAAACTCAGTGTTCACTCGATATGACAAATTATATATAAATAAATATACAATTTTTAGCAAAATCAAATCAAATATCTTTTAAAAATAATGACTATGATATCAGCTTAGGGTAAGAATTTACATAAGAAAAAGCTTTATTAAAATTTAAATCTTATTAAATATATTATTATCATACATTGATACAATTATTATCATAAATGACATCAATGTATAAATCACAATTATTAATATTATGACTATTTAATTAATATTATGAATATTAAGTCAATAATATTCAACTTGATTTCTATAGATTAAAGATTAGATCAAAAGAAGAATGCAATTTTTGTAATAAGCTACATATTTAGTTATCGACTTAGTAAAATTCTGATTAATGATATTAATAACGATAACAGAATCTTAAATGATTATCATTAACGATATCAGCGCAGTATTTAACTAATCAGCAAGTAACATTTTTAGAACGTATGTTGGTAAAGAGACTTCATCAGTATTGCCATCTACCACGGAAACATCTCACTGATTGTTGTATCAGTATGCATTGTTGCTGCAGAATGACTGTTGCTTCTTCGTATATGTTTTGACCAAGAGGTGGCGTCGGATGCTGGATAAATACAGTAACGCAATTGCCCTTTAAATCAGGCATGAGATACTAAAAGCAAAAGCTTTTTTATTTTATTATATAACAATAAAATTAATAAAAATTTACTAAATTATTTATATTAAGTTAAACTAATAAGATAAGAATTTGCAAATGTTCTCAAGCGACTCTTATTCGACTATCATGCTAAGTTTATTATTCTATTATTCAAATAAAAATCCTATTAAAATAAAATTCACCTCGCTAAACTAGAAATAAATTTGTCTCTCAAACGTAACTTTTTTTTTTCATTCAAAAATGTTCAATTAATTTTTAAAGCCCATTTTAAACGATCTATAATTCGTATCAACTTTTAATTATATCAGAAAAGTCATCAAATGCAGAAACAAAATTTTTTTACAGTTTTTATCGGAACTAATTGACTTTTGTGTTTACTTTTAAAGATACTTCCAGACGATATCGCCAATGTACATGAGATTGTCAAATGTTACACACATACAGGCATGCATAATTATCCATGAATGTAAACCAATTTAATGTGCAAACTTGGCTTATGTTGGCCAAATCGTTTACAGGCACCTTAATAAATATTTGTATCTACTCAAAACGCTTTGTTTGAATCTATAAATAAATATTGACTGAACAAGTTTCCGGATATTAGGAAATTTAGTCCTCTCTCTATTAGATGAGTTGAAGAAGAAATAATAGAATAAAATTCTATCATAATGCGAATAATAAATCATTCAAAGAAGGATAATAAAATTGCGGTTTTTGCTTTCCTTCAGAGGAAAAAGCAGCTTCAAAATTGTTGTAAGATTCTTTAATATAATTGGTTTATATATTTAAATCCAATGAGGAAATAAGAGCAAGATCAATAATATTAGAATAAAGAATTTTACAATAATTGCAAAGCTGTTTTTTTTTTTTTTTTTTTTTTTTTTTTTTTTCTATAGAACACAGTCATTGCTTCTCGTGCTAGAGTTTTCAGACCAGTTGGCTTAAGGTGCTCGAGCGCCTTGGCACACTGCTGCCCATCGTCATTCGCATGCCAAACGTTGCTGGACGGCCGATTCGGGGAGGGCATCAGCGTCGTCGCGGCATCGCGACGATGGTCGCAGGAAGGAGTCAAAGCGCCACAGCATAGCCGCGTCGCGGTGGCCGGCGTAAGGGCGCCGCGCGTTGCGATGGTGCTCGCCGTGACGCGTGGCGCTGCGGCGCTGCGTCGATGTATCAGGAGACCAGCTATCCGAGGAGGTCCTCCTCGTATTTTCATCTCTGTCATATCTCTACCCGTAATCGCTCGTTCTCCATCGAACCTCCGTTATCCATTCGCAAGTCAAAACGCCGGGAGAGTAGCCAGCTGCTATTAGGTATGACGGTAGAATCTACGGAATTCATGGACTGCAGCACCGAATTCAGTTGCTATGTCGCGTGTAGTCGGCAAACATGAACGGCGCGGAGCGCGCATGGCGCGCGCCAGTTTGCCGCGCGGGACCGCCCGCTCGCACGAGCCGCTACCGGGAGAACACGTGTCGGAGAAGTCGGATTCGTCGCGATCGGACGGGGCAGGGGAAAGTGCCGAAAGAAAACAGGGACATGCACGTGTACAGAGAGGAAACGTGGAGCAAAAATATCTGGAGTGGGAGAGACGGTGAACGCCTCTATCGCGAAAGCGGGACGGCGACCTCCAGCCACCTCATGCTGGCTTGCTCGGTTGTGATTAACTAAGGTTTAATCAGCTTTACAAGCTAAACTTCCTTTGTCGACATGCACGCGCATGATAATCCGCCGGACTATCTCGCCGGGTCGGCCGGCAACGAAAACACCTCCGATGCGTCGGAGGATCCTACTAATATGAATACGACGTCGTGCGCGTCAACGAGAGACGCACGTTGTTCCGGTCGCCAGCTTCGGGGACGAAGCTCGTCGTCATTCTTGAGCACCCGTCGAGCACTCGGCTGGGCTTCATACAGTCCTAATACCGAAATTCGCGGGATGTTGGATGCAGAGTTAAATTCGACTTGGGCATCGCGCTTCCGAAATAGACGAGCGACAATGCGTCGTCTGGGGGAATCGATAACTGGTCGACAGTGCGCTCCGGTAAACACGAGAGCGAGAGCGGGAGAAAGAGAGATATATTATCTCTGTTTATTTTTATTTTTATATTACAAAATCGCTATTTTTATTTATATTGCAATCTTTACTCTTTTATTCGATCACAATGGCCTAGTTTACATCGTGCGCTTCATACGGGTATTATATAACTAATGACTTTCTATTATCTTAATTTCGACGATATGTGTAAACATATACATGATACATACATTTTAATTAATCATTTTGATACATATTGTACATATATTTAGCACATCATTTTTTTAAATACATTGCTGAAATGATAATTTAATAGAAATTGTTACTAGTTATATTTAGCTAATATTATATCAAGTACTATATGCTCGATGTAAAAGTGACTTTGTCAAATGCATATCAAATTTAGTCATTAACATTTAACACTCATTTTCAAATATCAGAAAATATGAAACATTATCCATTTGACGATATATTTAATTGTCGAAATGATATATTTATTGTCGAGAATTATTCGATATTATTAATTAGTCGATATTATTAAAGTACACGTATATCGACAGAACAATTGTCATAAATGATAATTTATCATTTTGAGCTCAATCTTACGGAAATGTTTCGAGTAACAAACGATAACCGCGCGATACCTTCTGTCGACATTGATCTGCAACGATTGATAGCGACGTGAAAGCCAAAAACCTCTTGCCTCGTATCGTTTCCTGATTCATCTCATCGCGACATCGTCGCTCAATATTCGTCGAGGCGAATCGTACGCGGCGAGATGCAGTCAACGATGAAATTATTTACATTCCCTGTAACATCTGTTATCTTGATCATCCAAGAGAAACATTTTATAAGATAATTCTTTAAAGAATATCTTTCAACAATCGAGACTGTGAAATAAAAGTTTTACGTGCTTTACAAATTAATATCCACCGTCGTTTGAAGCAGTTTTTTAAATTTATGAAAAAGACAAATGTTAAGTTCAATAATTTACAATCATACATTTATGGTTTCGTTTAAGAAAAATTTTTTTACTACATAATTTATTACATAATTTATTGTACTTGTTTAAAATGCGGTATACAATTATCGAGACTTCCAAAAGAGAGAATTATTTTACACGATTATCGCCTATTAGCAAATTTTTTATGAAAACATTGAAATGTAATAAGTTTAATTAAATAAATTGTATCGAAAAAAACTCAAAACGAAGAGTAGTATTTACATTGTTTTTTTTCTGTATAGTAGTATTGTTTAATAAGAGTATATTGATTAATAAGAGTAGTATTGTTTATAAAAAAATTATGTACACACGTCTATCTAATGTTGGTTCATATTGGCAATTTAATTTTATTTACTTAATTGTATTTGATTTAATGAAGATCATTTTTTCTTTATCTCCAAATATGAATCAAACTTCATTACTGCTGACGACTGTCGAAGTCTCAAGGTATGTCAGAAATTGCATTCAGACAACTGGCTACCGTGCACGTTGCTGGAGGAACAGCTAATCCGATAGTCGGGATCGAAGCGAGGAAGAAGAAGTGAAAGAAAGTGGAAGTCTCTTCGAAGGAGAGAGAGAGAGAGAGATGAAAGAGAGAGTAAGAGAGAGAGAAAGGCAAAGGTTAACTCTCACACTCGGTTATTAAGGGTTCGGGTAATAACGTGTTTGCGAGAACGTGCGGTTGCACGCACCGTTCACGAGGTGGAACATGGCATGGCCCCCGGGTGCTCTCTCGGACCCAGCATCTTTCAGAGCCTACGAAAGCGTCGGCGTGGCCGCCCCCGACTCATGGGAACGTCCTCGGGGCAGCATAGGGTCGACGGGATCGCGCAC